CGGCGGCGACGGCGACGACACACAGGCCTGCGTCAAATACACGTGTCCGACACCACACCGACACACACCATTATAAATACGTAGTGCAACGAGAGAATTCAACTAATTAAGAGCATAAGAGAAATTAAATTAAATTAGAGAGAGAGAGAGAGAGAGAGAGAGATAATGGAGGGTAAGAAGTTGCAGGCGGTGACGATGGTGTTGGTGATGGTGGCAGTGGTGTTCATCAGTTCCTCCTCCGCCCAATTATCGGCCTTTGGCCTCTCCGACGATACAAATAATCAAGTTGTGGAGAAGTGTACTTGAAGATCAATAATGGTGGACCCAGAAAAATAATGCTCAAACACTACAATTCACCGCAGGATTGTCATGGAGCGTGGTGCCACCCCATTTATTACCCCTGTAGTGAAGGCTGCCATTGCGTTTCACTTTTTATGGATGGCCATATCTGTCAAAGGGCGTAAACATCTAGGTGTTAAACTAACAATTAAATTAATAGTTACAAACCATTCTCCCATCCAACAAAATATCATCCATTTGTTTATCCAAACTAACTCTTCTCGGCCGAATAGTTTTTCTTTTCTTTTTTTTTAACTAATATCTCAAATATTTTAAAACTTTCAATATCATGTTGGGAAAAAATAATATAGATCAATCGATCCTCCTGAAAGTTCTTCAGGAATTATTTGATTTTCCCCTTCCACGGGCTAACAGCAGATAAGTAACATTAACAAATGAATAAGAGATATGGATAGAAAAGCTTAACACCACAGGGATTATACTGCTCCTATCTTGGGACTATGTCCAGTCTTATACAAAAAAACACGTTCAACTATAGTTGGAAATATTACGATGGAGATCTCACTCAAGATATTACTATCTTGCTTCTAAGTACCTTAACAATGATTACCTAGGATTACACAATTGGAAATACCCTCACTAAACCCACGAGATACAAACTCTTTTTTCATACACGGTCCACAACCACTCAAGTCTCTCTTATTTGGACTCTGTACAAATGAACCTTAACGAGTTCTATTTATAAGAGGTCAAATATCTCAATCCTTATAGGAAAACAATATTATAATCCTTATAAGACAATAATATCCTACTCCTTGTAGGAATTGGTAGTAGTGTTTGAAAATCATTTTCCTCGTAGGACACGGGTCATCTGTTTTGRCTTCCATTATCCCAACATATCATAATCATACATCATACTAAACTTTCATGTACAAATTTGTTCTAGTTTTGTAGTATATTTTGTTATTAATTTTGRTAATCTAATTGAAATACAAATTTGACTACGTAATGAGATACAAATGTGCAACTTTTAAAATGTTAGAAATGAAACGAAATGATATATTTAACAAAGATAAGAAAGAAAAACCACACCAAACTGACCTCCACTTTATTCATAAACCATAAATACACTCTTGACCCTTAACATAAAAAGATCAATTTACACCAAATTGATCTCCACATTATTTATTCTTACAATGTCAGTGGATCACAGAGATCGTAATTGAAAAGGAAAAACAATCACACAAAAGAAAGGAACATGTAATTCGAAATGTGTAGTGGAGGCTAAAATGGAGGAGATTTTTAACCTCCAACACACACTCCTGCAACAAGACCAACTGGAAGGCAAAAGCAACTACCAGCGCAAGGGTCAGAGCCAACGATGTTGCATGACTTTCCAGCACATCCCAGTACAGCTGAAYTGCCTTTCAACATTYTTCTGAGGCCACCATTATTCAAGTTCTCCACGACGCCATTTCYATCTTCAAAAACGAGTTCTATCATTGAATTTTCAACGCCAAAACCAGATTGCGCTAAACATCCAACAAACAGCATCGCCACTATCGCTACCACCACAGCTGCCTTCTTCCCCTCCATCTTCCCTTTTTCCTTCAATTTTTATTTCTTGCTTCCTATGTCCTCTGAGGGTTCTCCAATTTATAGAAATTAGCCTCTCTAAACTTAGACGCAAGATATTTCTATTTTTAATTTAGGGGACTTGCCTAATTGGTTTTGTAAATAGAATACAAACAAAGTTTCACATTTGCTAAGCAAGACAATAGTCTTTGTCTATGATATATAGATGAGGATAATTATCTCTATTGGTATGAGACCTTTTGGGTGAAACAAAAATAAATAATATAATATTAGTGTGGAGATACTTTARGGTGTTTGGGGTACCGTTATCCTTAACAAGTGGTATCAGAGTCATGGTCTAAGTCTAGCTGTGTTGGTGAAATCCTCGGGTGCTGAAGAAAGAAATGRTGACCCTCGGAAGATATAGTCATGGTGTGATCTATGGTTGTGCTCTATCAAGATGTGCGAAGCCTTGGATAAGATCAAACTCTCGTTCTGACCWGAGAATGAACAATGAATATTTGAGGGGAGGCTCAGTGGTTACTTTGTTCAATRAGAGAATTGTTGGGTTTGTAAGGAGAATGCAAACAAAATCTCATATTTACTATGCAAGGGAATGATCCATGGTAAACAATGACAACAATTATCTCTATTGATATGAGATCTTTAGGTGAAACCAAAAACAAAATCAGAAAAATTATGTCCAAGAGGAACAATATTTGTATTTGAGCCACCAAAGAAGATAATGTATTAAAAGCTCACCTTTAATAATTCCTTTTATCTTTCAAATATTTCTTTACCTTTAATAATTCCTTTTATCTTTCAAATATTTCTTTTGCATCCTTACCCTATATGGAAGTTGGGGCCACTATAGGACTTTCCGCAACCGACAACTCCTAACGTAATTATTAGATATCATATCTTTTCTTACCTATATCATTTTTTTAATTAAATTAAAAAGTATCTCAGGAGTCACGACCAAAATTTTAAATATCGACGTTGATGAAAATGTTGAGGTCTCAATTACRTAGAAATGTCATATCAATAGATTTTTCAGAAAGATTATTATAAAAATAAAAAATTAGAAAAATAAATATTTAAATTAACAAATAACCATTCACAATTTCTAAATAAGTAAAAAATGATTTAATATTAATATTATGTCTATATTAACAATATTTTATTGATAATTTTTCTATTTTGTCCATTTTTTGAAATACTATAAAAATGTCGATTTGCTCCTTATGTCGATGTCAAATATTTATAGACACATGGAAATGTCGATAGAAATATTGACATATTGATAGAAATTTAATATTATGTCACTAATTTAAACCCCATTCGTTAATTACTTAATTTTTAATTTTCTTTTTTTAGAAATTATATGCTTGTTTGCTCATTATTACCAAACATATCCTAAGAGGCTAATTTCTATGAATAAGATAATGGACAAAAGAAGCAAGAAATTTGGAAAATATGGGAGTCATATTAAGATATTAGGGAAAATGTTGGAAGATGGGGGAAGAAAGGCATTTTATTCTTGTACAATAAAAGTGGGATGAGAATCATTTTTTTTTAGAAAATTTATAATTAAAACATTTGATAAAGATCTGTTTTCTTATTCTTTAATATGTTGATTAAATACCTTTTTGTCTCTAATATTAGAGTTACGTGTCAATTTTATCCCTGAAATTTCAAAATACACTTTTTATTCTAGCTCCCTAGAGGTTTGGAAAATGATTACAAATGATTCATGAGCTATTCTAACTATTCTAACAGTTGGTTGATTGATGTAAGATAATGTAACGGTTAAGTTGTTGACTACAATTTGTTGATTTGGGTAAATTTAAGATGATGGATTCGTGTTTGATTTTAATTCTATAAAAACACATATTACAATCTATTCTTTTAATAAATATAATAAATATCTTGTACACTCATAGACATTCATAATATTATTAGTTATGTTTACCCATCTATTAATAGATATAGTAGAACATTAATAATTAAAGTATTTTATAAGGACTAAGTTTTTTAATCTTTAATATATTTTTTTCCTTAGCAAAAAAAACACGTGAAAAATATTGGACAGAGAGAGGGATTCCATCTTTCTTGTCCATTTCAAACACACCAGCTGATCTTAGCGCACTAAAATTTTCTGTATTAATAAATTTAGATTGTGTTATGAAAATGAGGATACAGCTCATTTATTTCTTTTGTCTTTTATGACCTTTATCATTATATTTATGCATATGGAGTTAGTAGGTGGTGCCTCTAGTTGTAGGTCAATCCTCCTGCAGCTGGCAGATTTCAGACTGCAGTCYTCGATGTCTTCTCCGTACAATTATGGGTGTGACACGCTTATATGTCTGCACAGAGTACGGTAATAACCGTCTGTGTCTCGCGTCTTACGATTGCTCGTGGAATCTGACGCGTGTCGTGCTCAGATTTCTCCCTCAACAAAATCCCTAAAACCAGGTGCAATAATCTTCGTTGTCTTTCCTTTCTTCTTATGGCTTTGGGTTTTGGTAACGATTCAAATTGAATTAGACTTCTTCATAACTCCAAACCCAAAATGTYGGGAAAAATCTTCAAAACGTCGGGCAAAACTATTCTCGACGAAATTTTTGCGTCGGCAAAAAAGTCGGAAGAAGCGCGTCGGGGGAGGTCACTCCTGACGCTTTTGGCAAAAAGTCGGGAAAACTTGACTTTTCCCGGTGGAATACAAAAGGTCGGGAAAACTTGACTTTTTCCGACGGAACACAAAATGTCGGGAAATGTTAGTTTTCCCGACCTTTTCTCCCTGACTATATACAAAAAGTCAACAAAGTGATATTTTTCTTTTTCCCTTTTTTTCCTCCCATGCTAATTTGAATCGCATCCCTATATAACGACCTAATTTATGATATTTCAATTCATATTATCAAAATATCAAATAATATGATTTTATATTAAATAAAATAATATTCTTGTAAATTCAGAACAATAATAATTCCCAAAAGTCGCTACAAAAACAAAACAAAACTATTATGAATGTATAGTAATTCGAACTAGGTAAAGAATGAAAAGTAAAATTTTATACCATCACAAGTTCTTAATACAATACAAAGAATCTTAAAGAGATATCAAACACCAAGAATTTCTCACATTTCATAATAGGAAACAAACAAGGAGAAGAAACCAAAAYATTTCTCGACAACTCCAATATTAGATTCAAGAAATTTATACTAATAGACAAACTTTACAAAAMCTAAACCTATTGATCATTAACATCTAACAATAAAACATTTAACATCAAAAAACTTCCAAGCTAATAAATTTTAATACTCTGCAAACATCACGTCGAGAAGCACCGTGGCGCCCATGGCAAGTCCAACAAGTTCACTCATCTGTAAGATCAAGAAAGGCAAATCAATTATTCAAATTGGATATACAAGATAAACCGAGAAAGTTTGAAGCTTTGAAGTTGAGGAACTAATGGCTGGCAACACCAGACACCACAAACATTAGATAAAATGTGATTATGAATTCAACCATAAAGTTATGAAGATATGAGTCGCTTGGGAGAGTCCTCGAGAAGTGGTCTTGATTTCCATTAAACATTAGCCTCAGAGTCCCATTTGCTAATGTTGATTCAATAACTTGAGCTACCTCGTGAAGTCATTCAATTATTAATCATTTGATACACTAAATCATTCATCAGATGAATTCATCTTTAGCTGATAAATCAACATATAAAGTAATTTTTGACATAGTCTATATTTATCAATATATGTATATACATGTCTCCCCTCTGTTGGTCTCTATCCATAAAAAGACTTAAGTGTTGGAAACATGCATAATTTTCAAACACACTCCCTAGTTTCTGCTACAAACTTACCTGACAGAAAAACACAAACCAGACAAAGAACCTTGTAGAACTTAACATAATGCTAAAGATATAAAAAATTTGAGCCTCAAAATGATTCTTTCATGGTGGATAATATAATATATATACCAACATTGAGATTTGAGGACTCAACAGCAGTTCACCAATTTAATAAAAAAAAAAACAACAACAGTCCACCTTCCTCCTTTCTTATACTACCACTGGGAAGGAAGAGAATTTTTCTGATGATAGCGTAATATGTAAATGGTGTGGATTTTCTTGTTCAACCACGCAAGATAGGGATATGAGTAGGCCAGGACTTTTCCCTATAAGCTTTTACCTCTATCTTGATATTGATTTCCTCCAAAATTTAAAACAAAGGCACAAACAAAATATGGATCCGATTCAAGCATCACAACTTCACAGAGTTTTTTAGGCTTCGTTTACAACATGCATAAGGAGATTATATAAATTCACGACTACTCAATCACTTGAAGTCGCTAATGAATTGTTTAGTTGAAAAAATCACAGTAGCTTGAAGAAGAAGATATAACAAATATACAAAATCAAGTCGGATCTCCAAGCGAACACTGCGCGTTCACTTCCCAATCCCGAAACCTACATGCGGATTACGAGTCTTCAAATTTTAAAACAGAGAATCAAAGATTCAACATGCATTTAATTTCAAGAAGCTACGACAAAAAATTGCAAGAAACTCCCGATATCAAGACAACATTTATTTTCAAAGAGGTGAACTAGAATAGAATCCTACTACTTTCTCGAGAAACAAAAGAAAGAGCAGAGTAACAAAAGTTCAGATGTGTCACCATTTTGAGTGCCGCTTTTTTTCCGGTGACGATCTGGCGATCGAAATCAAGAGGTAAGATGCTCTGATGAAGAAGAAGAAGAAACCATGGTTCGAAAATGAAAAAAAATGTAGAGAGGATTTTCTCGCAGTAGAATAATCAATTTTCTCGCAGCAAACTAAATAGAACATGATCGGCAACTACGGATAGCAGACGGTGAGCAACGGACGGCTGCGGTAGTGTTGAGGGCCGGGCAGATGGACGGCAAGGAACGGCAGCTACCGGCGGCAGTGCTTAGGCGATGTACGACAGTTGGGAGAGGAAAATCGATTTGAGGGGGTAGGTGCGAATGGGGCTAAATCGAATTTAGGGCTATTTTGTTAAACACCTCGCGACGTTTTTCCAAAACGTCGAAAATTTTAGAGATCTCCCAATGTCCATTCGTAAAAGTCGGGATAAGTCTGCATCTCCTACGGTTTTAAAAAACCGTCGGCATAACTAACTCTAGATTTTTTTTATTGTTTCCATAAAAAAAAAAAAGAGGAATACTAGTGACCTCCCAACCATTTTACACAAGACGTCGCGAAAAAATGAAAGTTCGCTACGATTTTAATAAAACGTGGGAAAAATATTCCAATTTAGAAATCTATATGTAAACTTCCCCCGACTTTATGTAAAAATAGTCTGTAAAAATTAACCCATTCCCGACTATTGTAAAAAGGTCGGGAAAAAGTAGGGTTCGTAAGTGAATAGGAAAACTTTCTTCCGAAAACTGTTGGAAAATATAAACTTCCCCCGACGTTTTTAAAAACTGTCGGAAAAAGTAAACTTCTCCCGAGGTTTTTTAAAATCCGTCGGGAGAAAGTAGATATATCGCGACAATATAAAAATCATCAGGAAAAGATTTTTACCCAACAGTTTTTGATGCGCCGGAAAAACTATTAATTCTTGTAGCGAAAAGATACCTGTCAAAAACCAATATAAAATCGAGGCCAAATCCCTCACCACTGACAAGCTCGTTGGTATCGAAGTTCGGTGAAAGTTGAAGGTCATCATATAACCAAACACAAGGGAACTTGTTCCACAAATCATCGAGCATGAGCTGAATCAAAGAATTTGGTAAAAATTGCCATGTGGCCGATTGATCTTCCACACATCACAAACATAATTAGACTTAATTTAATTTTCCCGATCTATGTGTTTTTACCGAGGAGAAGAAAGGGGTTAGAGTTATAGTAGTAGTTGAGAGGTGGATTTAACTATAACTGTTTTAAATTGTCTGCATCGTTCCTCGACCACTCCATTAGTCTAAAAAAAATGGTTAGTTTCACATGTTATAGGGAAGGGACTAATTAAAATGGAAATATCTGGTGCGTAGTAGGCTAACCAAACTTGCCGTAAGAGGTTAGTTTCCACAAATGGAAGAACCCTTGAGAGTACAAAAGAAGCAACAAATTTTAGCATAAAATGGTTAGCCCTTATGGCAAGTACTGCTTTTGCTTCTTGTTTTAGGAATATGTATGGGATTTTAGAACCTCTCCTACATTTTGGCTTCCACTCAATTATGTTACAATCATGAACTTACGCCTGTTTACGTACACCTCTTAATTAATCCTAGCTCCTGACCAATGAACCACCATCACGATGATTCATTAGATTATGTTATCATCATGGGTTTATGTGTGCTATTGAAAAAAAAATCACTTGGGACATATGTGATCCATTATTTCTGTAACAATAAATAATGTGGAGATCAACAAGGGTCTGCGTATTTTTTTTCCAAGAGTGTATTTATTGTTTATTAATAAAATGGAGGTCACTTTAGTATGATTTCTCTTTCTCATCATTTTTTTTAATACAACGAGTGAGAGCGGAAAGTTTCGACTTCATGACATCCTAATCAGAGACATATGTATCAATTAGCATCGAGCTAAGYTCATGTTTGGCTTTCTCATTCTTATTTCTTTGTTGAATATATCATTTCCTTTCATTTCTAACATTTTAAAAAGTTTTAGTTCCATCTCTAACCTTTTTTAAACAAATATAACTAATCAACTTTTTAAATCACGCTATCAAAATTAATATACCACAAAACACACACAAATGCACGTGCAAGTAGTATCAAGTTTAGTATCATGTATGATTCTGATGTTGAAAATTATAAAATTGTTGAGATATTAGATTAAAAACAAACAAATTCAAATGACATCCTGCTTCAAACGAGAGAAGTTAGTTTGGATAAATAAATTAGCGATACTTTTCTCAAAAGGATATCAATGTCTCACCTATTAATTAGATAAGAGAAAATTTATGAGGCTTGGACATTAAATTAAGCTTGAGGTAGAATTTCAATTTACATGAGTTTTTTTATTAAAGAAAAAATTCCGAATATGAAAATTAACCTAGAGATAGAACCAAAGAGGAATCTGAGGAGGGTTTAATCAAACTACCCTAGACTGCGATCGGACTGTAGTTTATTATTTTTTTTAGGGGTGGAGGATGRAACTCACGACCTCTAGTTGGAGATATATRTCAATGAACYTACTTGCCTATTTACAATATATTAATTTTAATTGACCACATTGATGTCATTCATCTTTAAGACAGAGCTCRTGATTATTAACAGAGTTTTAATGGTGAGGATGAAAATGAATATTATTAAAGTATGATTTAAATAAATTTATTTAAAAAATTTATATTTATTCGTTAAGGATTAAAAGACAARAGACCTGATAATATTCTATAGTATAAGTGGGCYACTCYTCTTGTTATAAATTRGTTTTGAAATGTAATTTCATGAATATTAATATTACCTCCCTTCAATATATCATTTTTAACATATTTCTCTACTTTTCTTCAGGTCATTGTCGCAATTKAACATATTTCTCTACTTYTCTTCATGTCATTGTCGCAATGTGGTAGCGACGTGAAGCAGTCGAGTCTTCTTTTATGGGTCTCATAAAAGATTTTAGGGTCGCCGCTAACTACGTTGAGAAAATCTCAAATATCTCACGCATCCAATTTTTAAAATAAAGCTGACTTGTGAAATTAATAAAGCATGTATTTAAACACCGAGAAAGATTAAATGGAATGAAGGAAAAAGTGGAAATAATATTGTTGAAATATATTTGGTATTGTATTCAAATAACTAAGGCCCGTTCGAAAACCATTTTAGTTTTTGGTTTTTGGCTTTTCTTGTTTTTAGTTTTTGGTTTTTGGTTTTCTGTTTTTAAAAAACAAAAACCATATATGTTTGATAACCATTTTTCGTTTATTGTTTAAACCAAAACATGTTTGGTAACCATTTTTAATTTTTTGTTTTTAAAAAATTAAGAAAATTGAAAATACATATTAGAGAGAGAAAATTTTAGGTAGAGTAGAGATGATGTGGGTGCGAGTGAGAATGCTCTCCCCCATTCTCGGGTTCGTGAAAATTTTTAGTCTCCGTCTCCACCTCGTTCTTGGGTTCGAGAAATGTTTTTAAGAAAAATTATCGATTTTATAATTATTTTTAKAATTTAAATATAAAAAAGTGTAATAAATATATATTAATTATTTAAAAATGGAATCAGGGACGGGGTTGGGACATGCATTTTCTAATTTTGGGACTCGACCCTGCGGAAATTTATTTTTGTCTTGTAGAGACATGAAAATAGATATGTAAATAAACTTTTAGAAGATAAATTTTAGAGAGATGAATAAAAATATTTAGAAAAAAATAGTAAAAGAAAAGTTAAAACAAAAAGTGAAAAATTTTGGACAAAAAAAATAAAGTCGAGAGGAAAAGATACGCTAAAGAAAAAAAATTATAAAGAAAGATAAAAAATTATAGTGGAAACAAACTTAGCGATAAAAACAAGATTCAAAATATAATTTTTATATAAAATAAATAAATATAAAGATAAATAAAAGTTACAGTGAAAGAAAATTGAATGAAAAAATAAAATATAATTTTTAGAAGAAAAAATAGATTACGAAGAGACAGAAAAGTTATAAATTATGAAATAATAAAATATAATTTTTAGAAGAAAAAATAGATTACGAAGAGACAGAAAAGTTATAAATTATGAAATTTTCGAAAGAAAAAAATTARGAAAAATATTAAATTTGTAGAGAGATCAATTAAACTGGTCTATTAGGAAAAAAACAAAAATACAGAAAATGTTGGAGAGASACAAATAACAATAAATATTCAAAATATGAAAATTTTAGGGGGAGAAATTTAGAAATAAAAAAATTATAAATTTTTTAGGGATAAATATGAGAAAGAAAGAAAAAATTGAGTATTAGAATAAGAAATGAGATTTTGAAAAACAAAAACATGTTTTTGAATATTTTTTTTTAAAAATTTACATAGAATTTCAAAATAGTTTTTGAAAAACAAAAAACAGAAAATTGAATTGGTTATCCAATAATCTATTTTTGAAAAACTAAAAACCAAAAACRAAATGATTATAAACGTGGTCTAATTATTTTAAAAGAAAAGTAATTCTTTATGAAAATAATGTTATTTATACAAAATAGTTTACCATCACTATCATTACTTTTACGAGAAAATGTCATATTTTATTGTTCATGGCTTCAATAATGAAATCATAAGAGTGGTATTTAACCATAAATTTAGAAATATTAGAATTATCTTTGAATATTTTTCTTTTAATTATTCACTTCAAGACCGATGAAAATATGAAAGAGAGGGAAGAAAAGGGAGGGAGGGGAGGACACGTGAATCACGTGATTCACAATTTTAAAAATTATTCACTTGTTCCTTTCCCTCCCACCCTCCCTTTTTTTCTTAATTTAATTTAATAATAAGTCTATTGGTTCGAATGACACACTTTTTGGCTACTTTGATTAGCCGACAATCAAATTTAGTTCTAATCAATTTTTCAAAATTATTGGTTGGTCCGACGTTGAACCAACGTTGGTTTGGTCTATTTCAATCGGTCTAATCAATTTTTCAAAATTATTGGTTCAACTGACGTTGATTTGGTCAATTTCAATCGGTCTAATCAATTTTTCAATGTTATTGGTTCAACCCAATAGACACAAGTCTTTCCCTCCCAGAAGTATTAAGCTGGGTGAGCATTTTTTTAACCCTTACTGCAAGATTTGTGGTTTTGAATTGTATTTAGGTTTTTTAGTTCTACATTATTTATTAAAACATTTTACTTCTCTTTCTTATTTCAAAAAAAAAAAATCTTATCTTTGTTTTATTTAAATAGATTCAAAGAAATTTCGAGCGAGAGTAATATTTTTCCTTCATGGGATTTCCTATAAAAACAAAATATTTTAAGATGGAGTAATACAACATCTAATTTATTATGTGTGACTTTAAATATTTGTATTGTTTTAAATATTTGTATTGGAAACATTGTTTTTATTATATAAAAAAAAATTCTTCCAAATGCATGACGAAAATGAGATTTAAAAAGATTATGGATGTGTCTCACCTCAATTCAAAAGTTTTGGTGGTTTTTTCTAAAAGATAATTTGTTAGTAATTTTTTGTGGTTACAAATAAGAAACTAATTTAATAATTTATTTTTATTTTTAGAAAAAGAGTCCATTGATCTTATAATAATACGTGTGAGCCTCCTAATTACYAGCGATTCAGTTGAAAGATATAATGGGAAAAACCTACTACAGAATAAGTAGATAATAAGCAGAAAATAAGTGAGAAATATAAAGAAATAAGAGAAAAAACGTGAAAATTATGAYCATCACACAAATTTCTTTCTCCGATCTCTATTACACAAAACACTCCTTCAAAACAAACACCGCTCAGTTAACTAGAGTTAGTATACTATATTATTACTCAAGGTCAAGGGCTCTTTGGAGCAGACTTAGTTGTATCTTTCCGACGTGGGACAATTCACCCTTTTAATATTTTACCAAAATCCAACAAGCCACAGGTCCCAGCTACCACATGGGGGTGAAGAAGCTATTTTGTATAAATAGTAGTACCCTTGAAGGGAAATTTAGGGATTGGCAAGTCACGTGTGATATTAGGAAAAAAGGGTAGATGGAGGGGAAGAAGATAGCTCTGGTAGTTGCAATGGTGGCGATGATGTTTATCGGTTCTCTAGCGCAATCGACTTTTGGCGTCGAAAATGCAGTGATTCAACTCGTCTCCGACGACAAAAATGAAGCTGTGGAGTACTTCAATGGCGGATCCAGAAAAATGTTGAAACGCAAACCAACTGATGATCCCTGTGCTGGAAAGCTTTGCAGCATCCTTATTTTCAACACTTGCCATGGTGACTGCGTTTGCCTTTCAGTGAGTCTTTTTGGAGGAAAATGTGTTGAAGATTAAACACACATCTCCCTCCATTTCACCTTCACTAAATTATGTAATCATCAACTGTTTATGTGTTCTTTTGAAAAGCAAAGTGCTTAAATCATGTGGAAGTCAATTCCTTGTGTAAATTGGTCTTTTATGTCAAGGATTTGTGTATCCTTTTCTTTTTCAATTGTTTATGAATAAAGTGGAGGTAGTATGATTTTTCTTTTGTTACATCCATCATTTAATTTCATTTCTAATGTTTTAAAAGTTTTACTTTTTTCATCAACAACAAACAACGAAYATGGTGCACCACTAATTGACATATATCTATAATTTAAAAGGTAAGAATTTACACCAGTAGATAGAAAGAAGACTCATGATTTATAAATAAGGATAAYTGTCTCTAACGTAATTGGCCCAATATATAGAGTCAAACAAATTAATTAGTTTGATTAAAACTAACTTTTTTTTAGTACAATATGTGGGGGTGGGGATCGAACTAACAACTTTTWGGGTGAAGATATATGTCAATGGCTCGTTTTGACAACTACTCCAACTTGATTTGTATATCACCTTTTTCCCCGATATATTTACAATTAATTAAGGACTATTTATTTTAGTAATAATTAGAATATTTTTAGGACAACACATTTATTTGCATTATTTTTTCTTCAAAATGCATGGAAGCTTGTCATTTTGTCCCCAATGAAATCTGCATTAATCTTTCTTCTTGGATGGAAATGCATGGAAGGCTTATCTTTTTGTCCCAATGAAATCTTATCCTATCTTATCTACACTCAAAAATATTTATAAGTTTGAAATATATATATATAGTTTAAAAAAAAACATTGTTTAGTCGCAAATGAGTACAAATATCATTGAAACAAATGAGTATAAATATCATTGAATTTATCATAAAGAAAGATTCACCTTACCGATCTAATTAAGCTTAGTTCAACTGATTATCTGACTAATAGGTTATGAGTTCGAATCTTCAACGATATGTTGTATTTAAAAAAAATAAAAAAAAAAAGAAAGATTCACACTCCATTTCTCATTTTAAGGGTATTTTAGTTTTTTATCGGTTTTTAGTAGGATAGAGGTGGAATATAGGATCGAACTTTTTTTTTTTTATTGTTTTGTGTTGATAAGTGTCATAGAACATTTATAATTAAAGCATGAGGGCCAAGTTATTTTTTTCTTTAATATATGGGTAAAATACTTTTCTTTTCTTTGTCTCTAAAACATTTGAGGTACGTATCTATTTGATCGGTAAGAGACATTTTTTTTATCCCAGGAATTTGGAAAATTGTTCTAAATAGTCGGTGAGACTAATGTTAAAGATGATGCAAGGGTTAGTTGCTTACTGCACACATTCAGCAAAATGTATTAATTTAACAATATTAATTGTTGTGGTGATTGGACTTAATTAGCTCTCTCTATATCCTCTTCCCTACTACTCTTTCTCCTCTCCTTCTCCCTCTCCACTAGCGAACCTCGCCGAAATGAGACTTATCCCTCACTGGATCAAAGATGTTCTGCATATATTCCATATTTGGACAAGGAGCATTGTTAGCTTTTTGTTTTGATGATAATCAATATACTTAGTACTAATTATTACTTCTAGTATTTTTAGTGTTGTAATCGTAGGAGTTAAAATTACGACGGAACCGGTTTTTGTATTTTCAACCAAAAAAAAAAAAGATGTCGTATTTTAAACGAATAAAATGGATTAGGGTTCGGTATCTTGCAGTCGAGTTGAAAATCTTTTATAAAAACAAAGGAGAAGTTATTTGTTGTCCAAAGCAAATCTTGATCCAGGGAGTAGATCTTAACAATATATTTAAAAAAAGTATTTCAATATATTTTCTTCTTTCGGTGGCTCCTTTTTAATCAAGTTTTAATTGTCTAAATCTCAACCACTCCATTATTTTAAACTTATTTTTCTTTGGATCAATGCAAACCACGTACAGATTGAATTGCAAGATACATGGATTATTTTTCAATAATCCATATTTGCGGTAATCAAATATTCTTCTCCCTCCCGAGTAATCATAAATAATTAATGTATGATTTCTATTCTCTATAAAAGATAAGAAATACCTTGTTTACGTATATTGAAAGAATTTAGGTAATTAAGTATTTGTACCTCTTCATAAAAAATTTGAATCTTTTTAAAATACTTACTTCAAACACTTGTACTGAAAACATTACTTTTGTTATATCGAAAATTTTAAAATTCAAGAAAAAAAATATATACATTTTGAAATAAAAAAATCAAAACAATTATGTTTACAATAACTGAAATAAATCGATTTCAAAAATTCGAAGTAGAAAGCGAAAAAAATCTGGGAAATGCAGGGAGAAAATGGGAATTAGAAGGAAGGAAGGAGAAAAAAAAAATGGACGTATCCCAGCTAAAAAGTTTTGGCGAATTTTTCTAAAGATAAATGGCGAGTATATTTTTGAGGCTATAATTAAGACAATAATTTAATAATTCCTTTTTTTATGTTTTTGGAAAAAATAATACATTAGTTTTAAAATAATRTGTGTGAGCCCCCAATTATTAGGTGTTTTTAGGGCCAGACATTGGTCACAACTGGCGTATCACATATGCTAAGTTTTCTCCTCCCTACGATATCTTGTGTACAGATGTTATCAAAATAAAAAATTAAAAAAAATATATAGATATTTTCTAATTAAAAGTTACTACGATTTTGTATTTTGTTTTAAAAATTATTTTTCAAATTAAAAAATTAACTTCTAAAATTTTGATTAAGATTTTTAAGAACATTTKTTATTTAACACCGTTTATTTTAATTTTAGAATATGAATACTTTTTAAATTTTCATAAAAATAAAAGAATAAATACATGATAAATTATCATAATTAGAAGTAGGTTTGGAATTTTAAAATTATAATTTATAAATCAAATTTGTATTTTAACCTAAAATTTATAAAGTTTAAATCTTAGTTTGGTCGATGAGCTTTCATGTCTAATATTAAAAATTTTGCTATGCTATTTTGCTTCTAATATTCGTGTATTGTACTATTTATTTATTTGTGTTTACTCAATATCCATCTTCAACCAACATAGTTTGTATATGCATTTATATTAACAAATTAGTTCACATGCTTGAAACCACGTAATCAATTTGTTAAAAAAAATCAAAGTTGAAATTATTTTTAAAGTTTGAAAATAGACATTTTTTTTAAGTTGAAAACAAAAATAGAAATTAAACCCTTTTATAATACCGTGTGTCACGTGTGTGGACTCGGAGTTGCTAGTGTTTTCACGTTGGACTTGGATTGGTATACAGTTGGGCTTGGGCCGGAACATCGMCTTAAGCATAATTGGGCCATACACAATGGGCCKTCCATCGGGTGCTAACCGGCAGAACTGGCGGAGAATTTGGAGGGTACCAAGGACTTCAGGCCGCGGCGGAGCACCGGAGCCGGCAGCGAACAGCCGTGTAATTTACCATCTTGCCACTCGCCGGAGGCAGACTCTCCCTCGGCCACCGCTATTTCGAGTAAGATTCTTTCTCATGCTATGAATTTCTTTTTCTTTCTCTGAGTGAACTTGCGTACCGATTTCTTGTTGAAAAACAATTTGGAGCAGACTCTTCGAAATGCTTGGAATGTTGTAATTCAAGTGAGCAAATCTCATGCAGGAATGAAGACGAGGATCGTTTTGAGGAAGCTTTATGATTACATTCGGTATGATCTGAAAGAAATTGCGTTTCCTTCGTCGTTGCCGGATCCTCCGCATGTAAAGAAGCGGAGAAAGCTTACATGGCATGAACGATTCTTGGTAGATGCTTATTCTTTGATGTTCTCGTTTTCTTTTGTTGGCTTGTTGCTATTGTTTTATTTCTTTTGGAATTATTTGAGTAAGGATTGATAAGTTGCAACCAGTGATTGAAAGGAAAAGTTACTTGTTAGGGGATTGACTTCCGTTTCTCTTCAAATCTTTTGCGTATAGTTCTCTCGAGTGCTGATTGAAATGTATGCGTAGTATTTAATTGGCCATTGAAGATTTGATTCTGCTAAGCCTTCTTTGCGTGTGTTTTTTCTGTTCTTATATTGGTTCATAAGTAAATGCTCATATTCGAATGTTGATCTTAGGTGTTGAAGGAGGCTTCCAGGTTATATGCTGCAAGCTGGGTCCGGGACATTGGTCCTGACCTGCGACCAAATGACTATAAGGTGGAAGAAAGTGAAAACAAAACTAATGCAGCAAAAAGTGCATCTAAAGAGAAAGAACCTTCAACACTGGAAGATCTTGGTAACCAACCTTTGTATCATAGTTTTATTTAGATGCTTTATATTGAAGTGAAATATTTTCTACTTCTTGTTATCGCATATTCATGATTAGTGGGAAACTTCTTATATACTACCCTTTGGACGGAGGTGCTAATTAATTTTTACTTGGAATTATCAGTGTAATAGTGGTTGGTGTATTTTGTTTACTGATTTCTGGGTCTCAGTCAACTAAATCTCAAATCTGTTGATGCATAAGATAAAATTGTTTCAAGTTTGAGTACTTGATATTGTAGCTCTTGTCAAGAATGCCTTGTCACTAATGGAAAAATCAGAAGATATGAACAAAATGGTCAAAATGGTCAAAAATATGTTCAGTGTTCTACCAGAAGTTATTAAATTGTCTAATATTTCATATGAAGTGTCTTTTTTCTTCCTCCAGAAATTGGATTTTTTTTTTAAATTTTCTTGAAAATAATTGTCTTTCTAAATTTATCTCTATATCCTTGTTTGACAAAATTTTAAGACTCATGGTTTTTCATGAGATATCAACAATCAATCATGAGGATACAAATAGCAGCCAAATAACATCAAAYTATGATGCTGTGTAATAATACTCATTTCTTTGCCTAGATGCTTGTCTCAAATGATCCTTCCCTTACTCTTGTGCCTTACTTCTCTGTTGTGAAACTCACTTTCACTCTTTGATTAAAACTTTGCAAGAGATATAAGATATGATTTGTTTGGTAATTTAGAAATCCTACCACAGTACCCTATCAAAAGGGACAAAAAATGATAGAATGCTCTGTTATGGGATCTCATTCATTTTATCTACTAGGAGTTCTAGATTGCAGTTCACTTTCCTACGAGTTGATGCTAATCATTTATTGCATCAAAAAGTTATTTAAAACACAAAAGAGAGGTCAAACAAAAAAAAAGGAACAAAAAGGAGCCAGAGTAGTACAAATGGAAAATAGAATATAATAGGCAAACAGTAGCAGTTTCCCTTTATTTATGTAGAGAATAGAGATTTACAAAGTTCACAGACTTTCTAGAGGTCTGTTCTCTCCACAGTACACATAAGATGATGATTTCCTCTTCTATAACTACAAGCCTTATATACAATTTAATATTAGTAACTATCCATACATATCCATATATTCTAGCCTTGTAACTAAACCCATAACTACCCATTCATCTCCATATATCCCAGTAACTCCCTTGTAACTTTCCATACATATCCATATATATTAGTAACTCCCTTCTAACTTTGATAAGTAAAATGAATTTGAGGAGTGATTTGTCTATCAAAATAACAAAGAAGATTACAAGCAATATCCACATTGATCAGAAATCAAACAGAGGGTGTATCTCAGAAAAGAAAAAGAATGGAAGTCCAATGTGAGGTATAGAAGTATGCAACACCCAAAACCTACTTCTGTCTTCAAAGATCTTCAAATTCTTCTTGCAGCCAAATACTTCACATGTTATGCAAGAATCAATTATTCTAAAGAAATACTCCCTTTCCCACAAAAAGAGGATTCAGAATAACCACAACAATCTTTAGAGTCATAATCAGGTGCAGGGCTAAACTTAAAGTTCACAAGAATCTATTTTATGTTTGTGTCAAAAACAAATAATGCCCGAAAATATGATTCCAATCCTCTACTGAACACCATTGAGGGGAAAGGCAAAAAGAGACAAACCATTGCATMGTGTCAGTGTCAGTGGTGTCAATTCTCCCTAGAGCCACTAATCAAGCAAAAATCTTTAACYCTTACAGAATGTCAAGATTTCAAAGCTTGGTAAAGAAATTAGAGTTGGGTTAAAAAGAGTTTCTCAAAACAATTTTGAGCATAATTATTTTGCATAGCTATTTGAAAAATATTGGGTTCAGTATGAGAATATGGTTTAGTTGTATCAGTTTGAGCGCAAAGTGGGAAAGAAGTGTGTTATTATTGGCCTGTAATGGAGGTTGGAAGTTTGGAACTGTAAGCCGACGGTGGTTATCCCTGCGATCTATTCATCTAAGTTAGACACTCATTGTATGTGTGTCTTTTCTTTTAAAACTATCTTGTTCGTGGTCCCTGATGTGTAAAAGTTTGCTCTGTAAATAAAATTTGAAGTCTTATCATGGTAAACACCACTCTAATAGGATGTCTTTCATGTACCATACTAGAAATATTATTTCCTTTATTTAAGTTAATCATGAATTATAATTTTTCTTATTTTGTTATCTTTTCTTTATTGTCCAGTACATTGATTTTGGTGCATCTTATGTTGCAATTAGATTTTCTTTACGCCTTCTTTTACGTTCAATCTGTTTTACTATCCTTTTTTTTTTTTTTGTATTTATTGAATTGGGTTATTCGTGATAAGAGTGCCATTTTTATTCTGTCAAAAAAATGAAAATCCAGCTGTGGCTGCAAGAGGAGGAATGGAGACGTTAAAGCCAGCTTTGCAGCGGGTGTATATGACTAGAGCTTCTGCATATAGAGACGCTCTAAAAAATTTTATAGATGGGTATCAAGAAGGTGTTCAGCAAGTCATGGAGAAAAAGGAAGCTTCTGATTCTCAAAAGGGAAGCGATAAAATCAAATAAATATTTCCCACTCATCAGATTTATGTTTTATGTTAAAAGTCAGAACTGTGCTAAACAAGTTTGGATTAGACTGTTAAATTTGCAGTTGTAAAAGTTGGTTGAGTTTAGATTTTTAGTTTCATTTCAGAGGTGCAGTTTGAAAAATACAGTTTTGAGCATCCTCGCAWATATATACAATCTTGAGAAAGGATAGCAAATTCTTCCTCTGTGTACTAGAGAACTAGTTGTATGACTCCTATGCTTACTTTCCTCTTCTAATGTTTGTTATCCTACAGTTCTTAGTGACTGTAGTATTTGCTAACAAGAACGCCTATGGAAATATTAGTATCGAGGAAGCTACTATTGATTGCTAAATAAACCATTCAGTAGTTCTTTTCTTGTTTCTTTCTATAAGGTCTTCCTTTGGGGCTCCAAGGCTTTTTATCTTTGTTTTTTCCGGAAATTGGATTTTCGATTCAAATTTACCCCCTGAGAAAATGCGTGAAAKTAGCAAGATCCCAGCAAAATAACTTCTGCTTTCTGTTAGGTCCGGTTAACCAGTTGTCTCAAGTTGGATAATTTTTCCTCAACACTGCAGATCTGAATTGTGCATTGCTGCTAGCCCCTGCATTCACGTTAAGATCACTCTGGCTTTTCAATCATGTCATGAGGTATCTGCATGATGGATTGAATTTTCAGTGCAACCCTAACTCTATGATTTGACAAGAAAGAGTTGGTCGCTGATTTTGCTAATTGAGAAAGAAATGTAGTGGCAGAGTTAGGTCATAAGATGCTGTGGAAATGCTCGAGTACACTTTATTGTGGTGAGGGGGAAGGCTGAAAATGACTGGCATTACAGGGATTGAAGGGCCCATTTTTTCGGAATTGGGTTCTTGCTACTAGCATGAGCCCCCAATGTTCAAGCTACAGTTTGACTTTTACCAGAGAAGCCTGAATTGTTGAAAACTAATGAGGTACCAATTGCTCTATCCTTTTGAATCTCCTTTGGGCTACGATTTTAAAAGGAAATCAATAGTCAGGTTGCCTAAAAACATGTCTAGTTTCATGCCTGGCGTTACTTCTAATCTTTTTAAGCACATGGTTCTTGCTTCCAAGTCTTGTGATAATAGGTTACAAATCTTTTTTTTTTTTTCTTTCTTTTTGAGAGAATAGCCAGCTGATTTGCCTAAACGATTAAATTGACAGAGATTGACTTTGTTTATACATTAATAATTTTTCCCCATTCAGTTACTGGTGATAAGAGAATCAATTAAGGTAGCATAATCTTAGCACCCTTATTGTCTAGGCTGATCCCAATTTATAATCTAAAGAGGTTTGCCCATATATCAAATAAGTATGCAAGATTCTGACAAAGAATCAAGTGACTGCTTCCTCTTTTACCATTATCTTTATTGATAAATTAATGATTTTTTGTCGTTGTATGTTTCACAAAATCATATGCAGTCATTGAAATGTTAATTACCTTCTGGGAACTCAAATGTTGGCTATGTTAGTTTTGGTACTGTTGCTTGTCTCTGTCTTCCAGGGGATTCTTAAGTCACAAAAGAGTCTTTATTTTCTAATGGTGAAGTTTGGTTGGCAAGAGATCATATAAAGGCAATGATCTGATGGATGAAAAGATGAGTGGAATGGACCATGGACGAATTATCTTTTGCTGTTACTATATATGTACTGTACTTAATCATGCATAATTGAGTTATGCTTGCCAAACATATCCCTTTAGTAGGAGTCTTTTCACTCCTTTGATTAGCCATTTCTTCAATGCCAATTATAGGTTGCACACATATCTGGGGACCCTCCACTTTCAGAGACACTGATGAAGATTGGAAAATCATCAACCAGGGAGGTCAATGGCTATCTTCTCTCTTGTCTGATATTCTGTTTAATTCAGCCACTAGTTGATGATATGTTCTCATAATTCTGCAAGTTGTACTGAACATTTGCACCACATTTTAGATATCTGTAGATACAACACAATACCCATGTTAATCATCAAATGCATAATCTCATTAGTTGCTTTCCCCCAAAAAAGGAACTTAAGTTGACAAAAAAGAAGGGCTATGGATACATTTTGTCAAACCAATTCAAGGACTCCTCATCTTTTACTGTGCTGTATTTTCTTTTGTCCTATAGGCTACACTACAAACATAGCTAGAGACGAAATGCAACAAATAATATGTCAGCATATTGTACAATTAGCAGTTAGGAGTTGAGGACTTTGGCGTACTGTAATTCTGATTGGAACTGTGTTGATCGCAAAAGGACTTGTTGGTTTCTTTGAAGTTTTGTGCATAACGTGTTAAAAAGTAAGAAACATATTCTCTGTTTGAACGAATGATAATAGAACTGAAACGGACTCCACAGTGCCTGCAATACCAGTTACAGTAGAGAGAGATGGGAGGGAACTAGAGTTTTCCTCTTGCCTTTTTATGTCACTGGTACTTACTCGACCTGGAATTTGGCAGCAGGTTTCTTCCTTAAGTTAATGGCTCAGACACTGCAAACTTTCTCAAACGATATAGCCGTGCAGTAAATGGCCAGGACTCGGGAGGATTTGAAGGTTCACTTATGGTGAGTTTGGTCTAGCATTAAAAAGTGTAGTCTTTTCAAATAAACTACAGTATAGCTTCTCTTTTTCAATATTTTAGCTTATATGACCAAAAATAATTACAAATTTTGAAATGCAGCTAAAACCAGTTTTTAACATTTCAAATCATGTCAAACACACCTTTTATCTCAAATTAACTCCCAATTCGTCTCTCTTCTCTCTCTCAAACCAATGATATAGGTAGACTTGGCTACACATCAATAAGTATAAACTCTGTTATTCTGTTCATAGTTCATTAACAGTATGTTTGATACATATATGGATTTTAAATAGCTATGTRCACCTATTTGTTCGTGGCCTTTTTTTGTTTCTTTGTTCCTATGTTTGAAATGTGTTTATCACAAAGTTGAGTTGCAGGGTGAGAAAATATATTATTCTTTTTCTTTTTGATGTCATCTCATCCCGAACTTATCTCAATTTCATCACAGAATTGAATGCAAGGGCAGACATGGCATGGCAACCACGGAAATTAGCATCCTCTTCAGAAGCAGATCAGATCAGATCAGATAAGATGAATTCACAGGAAAAGTTGAAAAGGACACGACAATTGAGAAGTAAATCTTTATATAAATGAGGTAAGAAAGAAAGGTTAGATTTTGCTAAAACTTATAAAAGAGAGGAGTAGGAGTAGAGGCAGGGTAGTACGACAGGGCTGTCACCGATCCATCCAATCCCACCCACTCAAATAAAAGCACAAGAACAGCCCCATACCCCCCTCCATTAGTTATACTTTGAGCCTCTCCCAAAAATCTTGAGCCAGAATCTCAACAGTAGTCAAATAGATTCCTCATTCCTGACCTTCAACGACCCTAGTTTCCGGTTTGCATGTATGACGTCAGCCCTAGTTAGCTTTCTTCTTGGACCCCACATTTTTTGCTCTCTCACACCCACCTCCTTATCTGTGATATCTCTCTTCACCCCCACCCCCCGATCTTGGAAAGTTGGCCAGAAAATCTGGGATTTTTTTTTTCTTTTCTTTTCTTTTTTTTTCTCTCTTTCATTTTCTCATTCTATGTTTCCTTGTTTTTTTCTTGATGGGGCGACTCTTCTCAAGTGAAGTGGTGGGGGGGATTTCGATATAAAAAGAGTGGGTTTTGCACAGGGACGTCACGTCCACACATCTCTATCCTTGATGATATTTAGTCTGCTTGACATCTTGTGAAAAAGTGAAATCCTGTTACAACCACATTTTAGAACCCACCCCATAAAACAACCTGTTACTGCCATATAAATAAACAAATGCGTATATATATATAATCAAGTAGATTTTGTTAGATTAGTTGGTTTCATGTGGTTAAAACTTGTGGGACAGAGGAGGGGTTTTGCAGAAGAGTTTTTATCTGAATTTAGTAACAGTTGAGAAGATAGAGAAAAGAAATTAGAAAACTCCAAAAATGGGATATTAGGAAATAACTCTCAAAAAAGGTAACAAGAAACTGAAAAGGTCATGGCCCATTTTTTGCAGGTTTCTAAGAAGAGAAGGTTTTGAATTGTGGAAGTGATTTCTGAGACAGAGTGTGACCTCAAATTTTCAGAGGTTTGGTTTATTTGTGCAGAGTTTTTGGTCCGATATCATTTCCCTCTTGCTGTCCAAGTACGATGTCCCCCTTACAATCTGGAAAACCTACCATTTTCTCTTTCTTTCCATTTTCTTTTTTCTTTTTCCCTTTTTCCCTTGAGAGAAAAAAAATAATAATAACCCATCTAAATCAGTACCATTTTCTTTTCCTTGTCATATTTTCCCTGAATGAATATGAGCAGAAATTTTGTGGGATTTTGTAGACAAGTGTTCTAAGTAGCAAGCACACTTTGAATTGGGTGTCAGATTTAAGTGTAGAGACCAAAATGGAATGATTAAAAAAATTGTATGATTGAAGTGTAAAGATGTAATGTATAATGCAACAATACCAGTTTGATCATCCCCTTGCAATTGTTATTTAATATAAACGATTGAGCATATGGCAATGAATCATCATTAAAATGAGCAATATTTGCACCTACAATTCTAGATTCATTTAGAGATTTTGTTGGGAAAGGAGGAGACCATTTAATTTAATAAATGCAAGAAATCCATTTTAAATCACTATTTCTTTATCTTATTTTTCAACTTTTATATATATATATATATATATATATATATATATATATATATTTTACCACTTTGACTCTAATCTGTCTGATTAGAGGAAGCAATCCAAAAAGGGGAATCAGAGATGCAATGGCTTTCTTTTTAATGAACAAATAAATGGTATGAAAAAAAAATAAACGATATTATTTGGTTGAGTTGGCATACCATGTGATGCGGAAGCGGAGGGGAATAATGTGGATAGCTGTGGTGGCGGGTCGGATCGTTTCGACCCGATAAATCGAACCCGCCACCACCACCCGAGGGCGGAGGTTCGGGTTCCGACACGTTGGTTTGGCACTCCAAATTCACTCCGAACAGCCGCAGGATCTTTGAGTTCCCCACGGACACTGTTCGACTCTGAACAGAGGACTCTGAAAACAATGCATATACGAACATACACATATATATCATCCTTTTATTTAGCTGTTCAATAAAAAACTCCATTGAAAAGAAAAARGAAAAAACTTGAAATTTAAAACAAATTATGTAAAAAAAAAGTAATAATAATACTTCAAATCGGTGCAATAAGTTGAGGTTAGAGATTCAAATATATATCTAGATATCGAGTTAAGCTTACTGCTAATTATTCACCCTATTATTCGCTAGTTAATAGCCTCTTGAAATCTCTATTCAATTTTAAAATTTTAATCTCGAATATTACTTTCTAATACAACAATTTAACGCTTAGATAATTACGTTACATATATCACATTTTTAACGGTCAAAATTCAGTTTCCCACCCCTATATTTGTTTTTAGAGTGAAGCTGATTTTCGTTCTGGATAACTAATTTTTCTGAACAAAATTATTAGAAGATTTTTTACTAGAAAAAAAAGGGTACCTGGATGAGAAGATTGGTATGGCGGTGGAGAAGGATGATAGGGATGTCCAGAGCAAAACATTGAGGTCCATCCTCTACTACACGGCGGCGCCACCCCGGGGCTACGGCCACCGTCCGCCGCCGCCGCCGCAGCCGGGGAGCGGCGCTTCCAGCCAATGAAGAGCCTGTCGCCGTCGAGGCGGTGTCTCTCGAAAACSACGACGTCGCCGGCGTCGAGGCGCTTCTCTTTGACATAACGGCTCCATCCCTTGGTGAGAACGTAGCTCTGGCTACTGTTCCAATACGAGTACCGGAAGCGCCACAGCTTGCCGGACTCGTCCTCGAAGCTGAGGAGCAGGCCCTTGTCGGCGGCGGTGGCGGCGGCGCCGGAGAGTGGGAAGTACTTCTCGGCGTACTGCTTGGGGATGACGAGGCGGTTGAGCTTGCCGACGTCGCTGGGAGTCAAGGGCTTCTCGAACATGGGCTGGTGGTCGGCGGCGGACATGGCGGAGGGCTGGTGGCGGAGGGAAATCCAAGTGGGGTTGGGATTATTTTGCATAATGGGAAATATGAAGTACACACAACACAAGAAAGGCCAAGAGGGGTTCTTCAAAATTGAAACTTGAAAGTGATTTCGAGAGAAGTGGTTTATTATGGGCACATTTTAGAGAGAGAGAAGTGATTTGATTTGATTTGTGGGTTTTTTTTTTTATTTTTTTGGTTGATGGGGAAACTGTGGGAACTATTTGATGTAGCTCAAAAGACATGACAGAGAGAGAGAGAGGGTTATGAAAAATATGGGAGAGAGGCAAATTGAGGTTTTCGCGTGATCGAATGCATCAATCATTAATTTCAGTGAAAATATATTTTTAATTTCTAAGATGCAACTTTTTCCCCTTTTTGCTATGTTTCTATTATTATTTAATCCAAACAAAACTTGTAACTTCTAATCTTACAAATGTATTGCCCAATTCATCGACTTTCTTTAGAAATTCTATTTTCGATCTTATTAAATAATTAATAAATTTAAAATTTTAAGTTGATAGATTCCAATAAATTAGTTATTTATTAAGAATTATTGAATTGACATGTCAATTTAATATATAATTAAGTATGATTATGTATATAGGTTTTTTAGAATGGAAAAACAAAATTCTGGATTTTGAGTAACGAGAGAGAGAGAAGTAATCTATTTTTCCTTTGTGTTGCTCATCGTTCTATTTCTTTTAGCAAAGTTATACTTCACACACATCTTATACTAAATTTCAAGTCCATATGGCTTAACTATAATCCAAATAATCCTAAAGACAAATTAAGATGTAGTACTATGGTGTGGGGCAGCGACAATAAGCACACCTATAAATTATTTATAAAAGAAAAACTAATATTAAAAAATAATTAATGGAAGTGCAATGAGATGAATGATGAATAAGTGGAATGGTCCTTTTAAGAGAGTTTTGGGATCCCAACTTATGAATAAGAGGAATTTGTAGTGTCGAACAAAAATCACAACATGTCACATGGATCTTTTTGGGCGTCTGACCTGGAGAGCTTAACATCTATCACTTAGACAACCGTACTAAAAGTCGTAACATTCCACACGTGTATTCAGAAGTAATCACGTGTATTCAGAAGTAATCCAAACAAAGGCTGGTATCGCTCCCCAGGATCCCAACTGTAATTCTTGCCACGAGAATACTCCATTTATATCCGTGTAAATACACCCTTACTCCACCTATCCAGATATGCAATTCTATCTGAAATTGACCTGACATTCAAACTTACAACTGACTTGAGCATCAGATCGTCTTTTCTTTACTTGTAG